TTACACACCATACTCAAAAATGTTACATGCAAGTTCAAAAATTGTTACACGCCATGTTCACTACGTGTTACACTCCCTGTGCTAGCACATGTTATTTTAATATATTTTTTACATGCCATCTGCTTTATGGATGCATGGCGTGTAACAACTTTGGCAGTGTTTGTAATCCATGTTCTAATTTACACAACAAGTTTGAAAAATTTATCTATTGTAACAATAAATCTAATAACATACCTTGATGTCATCTCTGCTATAGGGTTTGTTTATCGACGACAATATGACCAAATGCCGAGAGATAAACCACAGCACGATGACGATGGTGCTCAACAGAGAGTTGACAGAGCTCATACAGTTCAAAGAATTGAGCGACCTGATGACAATGGTGCTTGACAAAGAGTTAATAGAGTTGATATAATTCAGACAGCTGAGAGAGAAAGATGAACGACCTCAAATGGCTGAGCATTTATTTCTATTTTCTCTCTGACGGGAAAAAGATATCGGGAGCTTTTTCTCACGATGTTTTTAAGGGCATTTTGATCTACTCATACTTCTTAATGGCTAAAAACAAATAAGTTTATGTGACACATTTTTAAAATCACCTTATGCCGAGACCTTTTCTCACAATTTCTTTTTAACTAAATTCACCGTACATAAATTCATATTATTATTATAATATAAATTCACCGATTGAATTGATATCACGTTCATGACATCAAATTGAATTACTAGGGATTGATTAATTGAATTCATAACACCAAATGACTTTTGATTAATACTATAAATTTTAATAAAAGATGAAAAGCTTAAGGCGTTACCTAATTTTACTAGTACATTTTCTGTTCTGCTGTTGTAAGGTAAATTTACTTTGCACACAAGAGATCATTACTACAAGTCTAACCATGGAAAACACGCCACTATGATCAGGTGATGTTGGGAGTCTTTAAGGAGAAAAGAGAAACAACCACAAGCACAAAATTGGATTACTCAATGAACCGGGGAGACAAGAAAGGTCTCAAGGAAGAATGCCAGCCCCTCTCTACCCTAAAATATTCTCTTCTCTTGTCACAGTTTCATCATATAAAAAATTTGTGTCAAGAAATTTGGAATATAGCATCACCACTGTGCCTGCGTGTGAATTGTGAAAGCTTAATAATCTAGGCCGCCCATGTCACCTGGGGCTGCTGGGCCTGCCTTCTCATCCTTGGGAAGTTCGGTAACAATTGCTTCAGTTGTGGTCATCAAAGACGACACGCTGCATTTGCACAAAGTCATAATTAAGCAGTGCTAATTTTTGGGGTTGCTCTAAGAAATAATACTACTTTTACAATGGGGAGATTGTACTAAGATAATAGACTTCCATGATTTTTACCTTGCAGCATCTACCAAGGCTGTCCTTATGACTTTCAACGGATCAATGATTCCCGCTTTTACCATATCTACGTACTCACCTGGTACAAGCACAGAGGGAAAAACGCTCATCAGAATTTCAGGTCACAAAATCATCTCTAAACCAGATATCTTTTTAACATATTTTTGTAGAAAACAAAAATAAACCTTTAGCTGCATCATATCCAAGGTCATGATTATCCTGTTCCAGTAGCTTGCCAACAATCACTGCCCCCTCAACTCCAGCATTGGAAGCAATTGCGTGTACAGGCATCTGTAGAAATGACATTGAAATTATGAAGTAAGCAATCTCTCTAGAGCATGCACTAGGCACCTGTCATAAACTATACTCAGTTAATAAAGCTCAAGATTAATTTGGGAACTAATGAAGCATACACTAGAAAAGGATCATAAACAGCATTACTCAGATCTTAAACCCGAAATTTATCTCTGTATAAGTCATGTTCACCGTTCTGAGAATAAAGATTTTGTAGAGAACATTCCATTGAAGACAAAGATACAAGTATAATGAGTTGGAACCTTAAGAGCATTCTGGATGATCTGAACACCAATCTTCTGATCAAAGTTTGCAGTGTGTAGGTTTTCAAGCTCCTTTGAGGCATAAAGAAGAGCAACACCACCACCTGTGAATAGGAAACTTTCGATATACTAAAACAACATAAACCCAACAAAATCAACCAATTGCAATTCA